ACTTGGCGAGACCTCATCTCTACAATAAATCAAACATCAGCCAGGCGTGGTAACGTGCGCCTGTAGTTCCAGCTACTTGGAAGGCTGAGGCGGAAGGATCGCTGGAGCCCAGCAGGCAAGGCTGTGGTGGCCGGGAGCGGCCACTGCACTCCAGTCTGAGGGACAGAGTGAGACTCTGACTCAAAAAAAAAAAGAAAAAAAAAGAAGGCTTACTGACGGGCGGGATCCCGCCCAGGGCCTGGAGTGGCAGGTGGGTCTGCCCTGCTGTCCTGGCCCTTCCCCGAGCTGACTGCTCCACTCCTCAAGCCTTTTTCTCACCGGCTCTCAAAACGCGTCTGGAGAGAGGGCTTACCGAGCCACCCCAGGGATGAAGAGGCCGAGGGACAGGGTGTGGGTGGGAGGGGTCCTCTGGCTCTGGCGCCCGGAAGGCGAGGTCGGCCACACACACCCCTCTCCCCAGGGCCAGTTTCAGTGTGGAAACCCAGCCGGTCTGGCTCTCCCTTCCCTCCTGTGCCCTCCCTGGCATAAGAGCGAGCCAGGCAGCCCCTTCCTGCCGGCTAGAAAAAGGGACTTGAACTCCGGTTGTTTCAGGTGCTGGGGTTGGTGGGCTTTCAGGGGCTATTGGGAGGGACCAGGGAAGACGACCAGGGAAGAAGGGGCTGGGGGTACAGAGGGGATGTGGGGAGGAGGGTGGGCTGCCCCAGCCAGAGGAAGACTCTTCTGGGAAGGTGGAAGGAAGGGGAGGGACAGACACCCAGAGACAGCAGGGCGGCCCTGCCCGCTATGGCTAGGGAGGCTGAGGTCCAGCCCGGCCTGGCCTCGGGCCAGAGAGTCAGACCCGACTGTGGCCCCGTGGCCAGGGCCCTGGGCTGGGCACTCACGGTCCCTGCCCGCAGAGCAGCTCTCCCCGGGGCCTAGCCCCTCCCGGGCGCCCCCGTGTTACTGACGACTCTGGGTACGGCCAACTGTTTGTGGTCTATTTTTCACCTCCAGGCCACAGTGGCCCCACTCAAGCTGGGCCCGCCCTGGGGCTGACTAGTGAGGGTGCCAGGTCTCGGTCTCTACCCAGGGGCTGGGTCCCCAAGCCACGCCCACGGCGGGTGTCAGGACCGGCCAGGGAGTCCTGGTGAAGGCGGCAGCGGCAGCAGCAGCGGCGGCGGCCGGCCACGTGGGCCCATGCAGCAGTGAGGCCTGTGGGCCTTGCCGCTGGGCTCTGAGGGCGAGGACGATGCTGGCTGATCCCGGCTGGTGGCTGAGAAGACAGGGCGGTTCCCACCCTGCCCACGAGGCACATACCACGGGACACGGCTGGTCCAGGCCCGGCGGTCCTGGCTCCCCCTTCTGGCCCTTCACTCCCTTCCGGCCGGGGACTCCTCGCTCTCCCTGCGCAAGAGGGGAATGGCGGTGTTGCCACGGCTGCCAGGCTCGGGACCTCTTGTGCCACTCGGGGACGTGCCCGGGACGCCGCCCCCTGCCCGGCCGCCCTTTCCCCGCCTGGCTGCCTCTCCTGGGCCCCCATTCCCGCTACTCCCTCCTCCCACCTCCTTCCCCCTCCCGCCGCTCCTGTCCAGCTGCCCCACCTTCTCTCCACGGTCGCTCCGGTCACCCTTCTCTCCTCGGGGTCCAGGGAAGCCCTGACAAAGGATTAAAGGTTAGCCTGGAAAGTGAGACTGGGGGCTTGCTCCTCCGCTGTCTGTCCGCCTCTGCCCTCCCCATCTCATCCCCCCCACGTGTTCCTGGCCTGGCTCCTGGCTGGGTGCGAGGCTGATGGAGGAGGAGCGTGCATGTAGGACACCAGCGCTGTGTGCTCCAGATTGACCCTGCGGGCGTCTCTGGGCGGGGCCCTCCGGTGGGGCTGCCAGCCGGGGCCCTCTTTCCCATAGGTTGGATGCAGCAGGCGCTGGCCTGGGCGTGGCTGGGGGCAGAGACCCCGGAACTATGGAAGTTATGTCACCATCTTCGACAGAACGAGAAATGATGACCTCTGTTCTGTGCCCCGGCTCAATTTCTTGTGCCTCCGTCTGTCCACCCCTCCGTCTGTCCACCCCTCCGTCTGTCCACCCCTCCGTCTGTCCACCCCTCCGTCTGTCCACCCCTCCGTCTGTCCACCCCTCCGTCTGTCCACCCCTCCAGCATTGCCAAGCATTCACGAGGACTGGGGGCGGAGAGATGGTTTCAACGGGCTCCCTCCCTCGTGTCTGGCAGGGCTGGCAGCTTACTGCTGCTGACAGTCTGTGCCCAGCCACAGAGGTGTGACCCGGGTGGGGGGTTCTGGGGGAAGGGGCTGTTATATCGGGGGTGGGGATCAAAGGAAGCTTCTGAGCAGGGTCCCCTGCTGGGCCTGATGGAGTTACGGAGGGTCCCCGGGGTTTGCCAGCAGATGCCACCCTGATGCTGGGCGTGGTGGCTCGTGCCTGTAATCCCAGCACGTTGGGAGGCAGGGGCGGAGGACTGCCTGAGCCCAGGGGTTTGAGACCAGCCTGGGCAACTTGGTGAGACCTCATCTCTACAATAAATAAATAAATAAATAAATAAAATTAGCTAGGCATGGTGGCATGCGCCTGTAGTTCCAGCTCCTTGGAAGGCTGATGCGGAAGGATCGCCTGAGTCCAGCAGGTCGAGTCTGCGGTGGCTGTGAGCGTGCCGCTGCACTCCAGCCTGGGCAACAGAGTGAGATTCCAACTCAAAAAAAAAAGAGAAAGAAAAAAGAGATGCCACCCTGAGCTTCAGCTAGAGGACAGCTGTGGCCACATGCGTGGCGGCATGGAGTCTCCGGCTCCATCCTCAAGAGTAGCTCTCCACCTCGTGGGCCCAGGGCCTGGACTGGACTCAGTGTTGTCATCGCCTGAGCTTTCTCATGAATGGAACACAGCCTCCCACTCACAAACCCAGGCTGGAGCTCTGCCTTTGCCTTGTCCATAAGTTGCTCTTCAAGGCAACATTCTCCTTAAAGTCTAAGGTGGACATCAGACCTGCATCTGATGACCGTGTCCCTGGAAATAGCCACCTGATGTTCCTGGGACCACCCTCCCCTCCTACAAGCCATTGACTCCACCCCAGCTCCAGGTTGAGCATGAGCTCAGGCCTGGCCAATTAGGGCACCGCGTTCCTATGGCCAAGTGCCGTTCGGGGTTTGGGGTTGACCTGACAGGGGCCGATGAGAGCCCACTAGAGGGAGGGAGACATATTCTTTCTTCTGGGTTTGGGCCTGGGATGATGCAGGGTCGGGGCTGCTTGCTCCCACCACGCAAAGGTTGATTCCCACACAAGGAAAGCAGAGACGAGAGAGGCTGAGTTGTTGAACCTCTGGTCTTTTCAGTTTTGAGTGATTTTAAGCCAGTTTAAATGATTTTTCTGGCCAGGCTCGGTGGCTCAGCCTGTCATCCCAGCACTTTGGGAGGCCGAGGTGAGTGGATTGCCTGAGCCCACAGGTTTGAGACCCACCGGGGCAACTTGGCGAGACCTCATCTCTACAATAAATTAAAAATTAGCCGGGCATGGTGGCGCACGCCTGTAGTTCCAACTACTTGGAAGGCTGAGGTGGAAGGATCGCCGGAGCCCAGCAGGTTGAGGCTGTGGTGGCTGTCAGTGTGCTACCACACTCCAGCCTGGGTGATAGATGAGACTCCAACTCAAAAAACAACCACCACCAAGAAACAACAATAAAAACGATGTTTTCTCTCAATCTCGACCAAAAGAGACTGAATACAAGCAATACTGAGTTAGTGCTCCTTTCCTCTTCTCACCCTTCTCCTCTAACCGAAGCCTCACCATCTCTCAGCAGGACACTGCAAACAGGCTCCTCACTGCTCTCCTCATCTCCTTGCTACCATGCGTCATCCTGCATCATCCAGCTTCCGTCCGTCCACCCATCATCCATTCTCTATCCACCCACCAACCCACTGATCCATCCTTCTGTCCATCATCCATCCGTAAACCCAGTTTCCACGTGTCCATTCACCCATCGTCCCTCCTCTGTCTATCTCCACCCACCCCTCAGGCCTCTGCACTATCTCCCCATCGATCCACCTTTCACGGTCTGTCTATCCCCTCTTCGGCCGTCACCCATCACCTGTGCATCATCCATCTACCCATCCGTTCATCAGCCCTCCATCCATCATCCATCCACCAACAACGCACTCAGCCATCCACCAAGCGGCTACTCTGGGCTGGGCACTGGACTTGGCGCCAAGGATCCAGGGGGTCAGCTGCAGTCTTAGCCCTGGGAAAAGGGGTCACCTTGAGCTAGCCAGATCAGGTTACCGCGTGAGTGCAGGAGGTATACACAGGAAGGACCCAACTGGACACTTACATCTAGTCCTGGCTCCCCGGGTCTGCCCTGAGGAGAGACACAGAAGGGTGAGAGGGGGTGGGAAGGGTGCTGGGAGCACAGCTGCTGGGAGGTCCAGCCCAGGGGGCTGGTCACAGCTATGTGGCAGGGAGACCCATCACGCATGCAGGCACAGACAGAAGGCAGGGCGGAAGAGGCACGCACAGAGCCTAAACTCTGGCCCTGTGAAGTGTGGAGGCCCGGTGAGGCTCAGGGGTGAGCTCCCAGGGTTGAGTGATGCTGAGGACATGTGGTCATAGTGCGGGAAGAGGTCAGAGTGAGGTGGGTACCTTCTCTCCTTTGGTTCCCGGCAGCCCGATAAGGCCCGGTGGGCCAACAGGCCCCTGGATGGAAAAGGAGTGTGTCAAGAGGCATGCCCGCCATGGGGATGAACACCTTTAGGGGCAAACAAGGCTCTTGACACTCACAGGCAGGCCGCTGGGGCCTCTCTCGCCTGACGCTCCCTTCTCTCCCTTTGCGCCGTCCAAGCCCTGGGAGCAAAGCGGGAATCAGTCAGAGGGAAGGGGTCGGGCAATCAGCAGGAGGCGAGCTTGGGGTCTGTGTGGGAGCTAGGGTGTGCACGGCAGGGGGACAGACCTCGGCTGCCACACACCGGACCTGCTTGCTCCAAGGCCAGGATGACTGGGAAGAGCCAGTGCAGGCACACTGGCCTTTTTCCTCACATGGGCTCCCTTGGTCATCGGGGACGGTTACCAGGGTCATGCTCGCGCCACGAATGAGGAAAGGAGGTGGCTCGCGCCACGCATGAGGAAAGGAGGTGGCGGCGGGGGGCAGGGCCGGCTTGGGGGTGGCTGAGAACTATCAGGTGTCTGAGGCCGCCTTGGCCACCCGGCCAGCAGCTGCCTCTTCTAAACGTGAAGGGGAGGCCTTGGGGCGAAATAGGCCAGGCGGTGGCACACCCGGCTGGGCCACACGCTCAGCCTCTCCTGGGCCGGGATTCTAGGACCCTGCATCCCCCGTTCGGCCTCTAGTCTGGGGAAGCAGCATTGGGTATGCCCCTTGGTGGTGCCTGGCATGACAAGGAGGGAGGCCGCATGGCTTCCCCTGCTGCACATGCCTTCGGGGCAGCACACACGGGCAGGCCACACTCGTTTTCATTTAAGAGCAGAGAACGTGACATTACGTGACACATCCAAGCCCAAGACTTGATGTTCAGGCTGTGGGCAGCCGAGAGGAGGAGAGACAGGACTGGGTCCACGAGCAGAGGGCAACCCGCTCTGAGGACACCCAGGACGGCCTTCCAGGGCTCGTGCTCCAGGGCCTGGGAGTGTCAGGGCAGGGCAGACTGAGGGCGGGTCTGGGCAGAGCATGGCCCCACGCTGCCCTCGCGGAGCTTCTGGAACCTGCCTGGGCTGGGAGCCTGGGGTGGGCTGGGGCCTTCACCCACTCACCTTGGGGCCCTGGGCTCCCTGGAGGCCCTGGAGGAGGAGAAAGCAGGTCAGTGGGGGCTGGCTGGGTCGACCTCAGGGTCAGGGCCCTCCTGCAGTGACCACACAGGCTCGGGCCACTTGCTGGTCCCTGAAGCTCGGGCCTGGCTCTGCCCTTGTTGCCTGGTACACCCTGCTCCCACCACGAAGATGCCTTGTCCTTCCCTGGGTCACGGCTCTGGGGCCTGGGCCTCTGTCCCCTTAGCACCCAGCTGCTTCAAGGGTGCGGGAGCAGCGAGGCGGTGGGATGGGGCCTGTGGACTGGGGCCGTCCCCCAGGGGCATCCTTACCATGGGGCCGGGAGGGCCGGGGGGACCGGGAGGCCCGGGCTCCACGATGAGCTGGGCCTGGGGAGGGTCGAAGAGGGTTGTGTCCACACTGCCCGCCATCCCTCACCACCCACGCGCATCACACCCCGTGGCGCACTCCTGGGCGCCGCACCCCTGGGGTGCCTTCCCGCCCCCAGCAGGGCACGGCCAGGCGAAGGGTCCAGGGCTGGCTTCCAGGTCCGCAGACGGGCCTCAGGCGGGGAACACAGCCAGAGGCTCCCCCGCCCTCCCACGACCCCGGATATGGCCAGGCCAGGCAGCTTCTCTGTCCCAAGACTTGGGGTCCCCACCCCGCCTGGGCTGGGGGTAGGGGGAAACCCTGCTCCCAGCACCCCCTCACCAGGCTGTCCTGTAGGCTGTCAGACGCTGATTCTCCCTTCTCCCCCTTGAGGCCGTCGGTGCCCTGCAGGACGGCATCAGTTGTGAGCCCTTTCTTTTTCTTTCTTTCTTTCTTTTTTTTTTTTTTTTTGAGTTGGAGTCTCACTCCGTCGCCCAGACTGGAGTGCAGTGGCCACTCCTGGCCACCGCAGCCTCGACTGTGGG